TCTTGTAAAATATCTTATTACCAGAATAACATATAAATTAGCAATCAGTTCTGTGACAATTCCAGTGTTAAAAAAGCTGTCTATAAAAAGCTTCAAAGGGAGTTCAAAGCAAAAATGCATTTTGCCTACATCTTTGTCAGATTTTTAAATACATTTAAAAAAAATGTTTTTGTCTAAAAATAATAATAATAAAAAAACTAGTAATAATTATGGAAAACCATTTCAACCACTAGCGGCTGTCCAATAGATGGTGCTAGGGTGCTCCCCTCCCTGAACCACACAAAAATTATTATTATAAATTATATACATTTACACTATGATATGATAGATGATGTAGTGGGCAGCACATTCCAGGGCCCAGTTTATGGCGGGGCCCCTCTCTGACCACAATAGTGGACAAAGATTTGCTACATTTCAATTGGATCTTGGTGGACTAACATAAGCAAACTGTCCAACACCAATAGATAAAGATGCTAAGACAACAGCCAGACACCTCTTATGACGCTTTTTCACTGCATGGGACGGCACGGTACGGCTCGTACGGTTCACTTTTTGGGGATTTTCCACTGGGTACAGTACCTGGTACCTGGTACTTTTTTTAGTACCACCTCGGTTGAGGTTCCAAGTGAACCGTACCGTTACCAAAATGTGACGTGTAAACTCTGCTGATCACGGATTGGCTGGACAGAATCGTCACTACCTGCGTCACTGAACTTGCGACACAAACACAACAGAACTGCTAGATTTAAATCAGCACAGCCAGCGAAGGATCGAACGCAACTGTTTTGAACGAGCACGCCTTTTTTAACAACCAAAAAGTGGCTGTTTCGTTGTCTGCTGAGGAAGTACAGACGTTCCTCTCGTTGATAGCAGAGGAGCGGATCCAGCGAGAGCTTGATGGGGCGACGCGGAATGAAAAAGTTGTTCAGGAGTCGCGGCAATAGAGGCGGTGCAACTATAACGACATGTGAATAATCCCGCCCACTCTAAAGCGGTACTGAACTGCAATGGAAACGCAAACCGATCCGTGCCGTGCCATACCGTACTGAGCCGTGCCGAGCCGAGTCGTACCACGCAGTGGAAAAGCGCCATTAGAGGACAATAAGAAGACCTTTAGTACCAAGCCCAGGAAGGACAGGACTTCTCATTGGTCAATATGCAGTTTCTGCCCTTCACCCACCTACAGACTGATCCCTAAGATTTGGCCGTGACCACCATAAAAATTCCTTTGGATCTCCAGACACAGCAGCAGTGGGTGAAACAAAGAGAGAGATCACAAAGATCCAACCAAATCCATTCATAACTATATTTTCAAACCTTAAAACTCATGCAAACCAGAGCACACACATCTTATACTTATTCAGAGAAACAAGTACTCTCACTGACAGTGATGTGTAGTGCAACATCGTACACAAACTCAGCTGTTAATGGACAAATGAATGCATTCATGACAGTTCAATCTACTTCCATCATGTTTAGACTGAATGTGTTTGCAACATTGCCAAGGGTATTCTGGTTGTGGTTTGGTAAGTGGATAATGCATCTGTAAAACTTTAGTGACACATTTCTAAATGTGTTAAATTAAACAAATTCCACAGGAGGAAAGCAGGGTGGGCCACACCGTGTCCCCCGCTCTGATGGAAACAGTCAATCACAGCACAGAAATGGAGAAGCGCCGAATCTCCTCCTCATTGGAAAGGGATAAAGGTACCCTTCCAAAAGACACTCCTTGTTCTGAGTCTGAGTCCTGTAAGGGAAGAGACAGTAACAGAAACACCAGCGTTCTGAGTCTCTGGCTCGTGAGGGAAGAAGCAACAACAGATACCAAGTCCTGAGTCTCCAGCTTTGGAGGCAGCAACAGATATGCCATGTTCTGAGCCTCCAGCCAGTGAGGAAAGAGATTCTCTGCGTTCAAAGTCTTCATCAAGTGAAATAGCAACACATAGAGCATGTCCTGAGTCTCCACCCTAGAGAGACAAAGTGGATTGACCAAGTACTGAGTCTCTAGTCCAGCGAGGTAGAAGACACACAGACATTTGCAACAAGGTGAAGCTCTGGCGAGTAAACCTTCACTTCAAGGTACTTTTGCTTGCGTGTTCCAGGCAAGGACCTTCTACACCTACTCCAGGGCCACCTGCGCAAGTTGTTCAAGATCTTAGGACCCTTTGGTGCTCCAGGAGATCAGCATCCTACAGTGCTTTGTGTTCAAGGCTGTTAAAACGGATTCCTGCTCCTTTCTCCATTGCATTGCTACCAGCACAACCAGTGGAAGAAGTCACCGCCCCCGGACTGCTCACTCGACCACAGAGAACCAAAATATCACTCCCAAACCTCTTCTAGAGATCGTGGCATTGCATATTATCAGTATATTATTTTTATAATCTACATTAGATATTATATAGCTGATTGCAGTTGATAACAAATAATATGTCATGTATTTGTTTGATGCATAATAATTTGTTTCAGAGTAGCAACAGTTTATCTCTCCAGATAGCGTAGCTCTGTCATAGCAACACCCAACTTAATCACTTGCATTTTATGCATCTTATGCACTTTATTCCATTTTCGTTCATGGTATCCATTTAGTAGTTGTTGATTACACTTGTCTATCTTTCGTTAATAAAATTAATTTTTTAATTAATTAATTAATTTGTGTTCCTTCCTTGTGTTCATAATGCAGTAAAGGGCTCTACGAGTTAGAGATCCCACCAATCTTTCTTATGTGATGTACTCATAACCACACCTTAAGTGACACATGATGCAAAAATCATAACGTCATTGGTGACGTGAGTACCCATCACTACACTATTTTGCCTCCCTAGGTTGGCCAAAGCAAATTCACTACAATGATATGATAGAAAATCATCTGTACAAAATACATGCTTTCTTTATATGTCCTCTCTGCCTGTCTGCATACGATAGACCTTCTTCCTGTGGTGATCTCTCGATGTAGCAGTTTAGCCAATTGCTTAATCAAAATTTGAACATATTCAAGATATGACATAAAATGAGCCAATCAGGCTAAAATTCAACCTGAAAAGGGCAATTATTAAAGAGCCACTGCTGAAGTCAGGACTAGTCTTTAGGGGCAAGAGAAGTCAGGACTAGTCTTGCAAGAGATTTTGATGAACAAAAATGGTAATTAAGTTGAAGATGAATACAGCCACACACATGAGACATATTAGCCCTTGAGGGTCACGTGTGATACCAAATGCTGGTGTGGCACATGGGGTGTAAATGCTTTTTCATGTATCTGAAATTTCCAGTAAGCTGTTTAGAATCAGAACTACTAAATAAGTGCCCATTTTGTGAATTAATAATTTTTGATTTTCTTTCAAATTAGTCAAAACAGGATACCATAGCGGACTGGTTCACGATTGGGTCTGAATCATCTGGTTTTAATCTTAATTCAACTGAACAGAATACACTTTCATGTTAAAAACACTTCGTAGCAATGGTAGCAGTGGTATTTATGTGTAAAAATGTTCCTATACTATCTTTATATTAAGCACACCTCTAGAAATTTATGTGAAAAATCTGTTTAAATTTATATGAAGTTATATGATGTCTGTGCAAAATATCTTGTACAAAGTTTCTATCTATTTGAACAAAATAAAGTATGGAAAATGTTCTCGACCAGACATACTGTATGCTATGATTATTCCAAGTGATAACTGATCTATACAAATAAGAAATATACCTCATATAATGTAGAAAACAAAGAAAATATGTATTACCTGCAACCCCTGCATGTTTAGCATTTATAAAAGCAAAATGACTTAAAATATAGTGGCCTTGTGAATAACAACAACAACAAAAAAAATTCTGGAGTTGTAGAGTGGAGTTTCTGGAGTTTCTATGTATTTATCTGCAAATTGTGTAAAAACACTACATAAACAAATAAATCAATAAATTCAGTTTAATAGATGGTCATTGGTCAAAATGAGAGTGTGACTGGTGAGGCGTCATCAGTTCTCTCTATGCTGCCCCCCAATGGATGGATCCAGAACTACCTGGATAGTTTATGAACTTGCTGGTGCTGCTGAACACACAGTATAAAGCTAAGAGACTCACAGAACTGGAGTCAAATCTAAAAGCCTTACGATGCCACCAGAGAGACAACGCGACTGAGGAGCAAAACTAGACCACAAACGCCACTGAAAATGTTGAGCCTGCATGGATTCCAGCCTTCCCTCAGCTCATTCATGGGAATGGACTGGCCAGTGCGCAGCCTCTGGCCGGAGATCACATCTCTTTACAGACACGGAGAGGAACTGCAGGAGCTGAAGAGCAGCCTGGAGCAGCTGGAGAAACTTCACCACAAGATCTTTGAGGAGATCCAGCAGATGCCTCCCTCGCAGGAGATCTACGCCTGCACAATGGAGAAAAAGGGAAGCGGCTTTGCTTTGACGCTGGACACTAAAGACTTTTCCCCAGAAGAACTGTCAGTCAGACAGGTGCGCAGGAAGCTGCATGTCAGCGGAAAGAGCGAGAAGAAGCAGGAGGATGGGAAGGGCTCGTACTCTTACAGAAGCCAAGAGTTCAGATGGGTGTTTGATCTGCCTCAAGGAGTGAATCCTGAGGTGCTGACCTGCTCCACGGCTGATGGAAAGCTCTACATACAGGAACCAGTAAATCAACCATCTGAAGCAGCTGAGAGGATGCTGCCACTGACTGTCAAACTGTGAAGATAACGCAGCCAGAGACAGCCGAGACACAACACCATGCAAGCGCAGCACAGACGACACTCAGCAATCCTGAAAGCACTGAGCACAGAGTACAACCCTCTGCTGGACCTTAAACGACATTTAATTTCACAAGATTTGCATATTCTATACAAGAATCATAGTGGTATTATATAAAATATTGTGGTATTGTAGGTATGTAACACACTACCTAATTAACCAACTACATACATAAATGCATAAATAAAGATTTTGCATTTATCTAAGACAGCACATATCCATTAATTATTTTAGAGAAAATAATTCATTCTGGGTAATGTTTTATTTGCCTGATTAATGTTTCAAACTATTTTAATACAGATAATTTGGAAGTCTCATAAACAAAATACTGTATAAAAAAGTAATACAGATCTAAAAAATGAGTCAAATGAATTTTATCGGTTCTGTTGTTTAGCTCAAAATCAGTTCTCCTGTCTCTTGCTCTAAAAGTAGGAAAGGAGGGAGACACACAGACACACTATCAAGACAGAAACTAATAAATTAATCTGATTTATGATTACATTTTGAGGGTGTGTAAGCACAAATAAACATGGATTCATCTCATCTCTCACTGCAGGCTGAGATACATCTCATGGGAATTTTGTGAGTTTATTGGAAGTGATATGTTTTTGGAAGGCTCTGGCTTCATTGTTTTGTGTGTCTTTCAGAGTACCTTCTAAAACATGGACTCTAAATGTGTATGTGCACACATATATTACAAACTGTTTGAACATTCATTTGCAGAAAACAGTTTGCAGGTAACATGATGAAAAAACCCATTGCAAATAAAAAATGGCATTGTTGATATCTATAAATGCTATAATATACGTAAGATTAATTTGTGGTCTTTTCTGACAACAAGTAGATAAAGTTTGCATCCTCAATGCAACAGGTCATAAAACATACAGTTGTAGTTTTACTGTATAGAAACATATTAAATAAGACATTGAATCCATTATCACTGAGATATCCGCAACTGTTTTGCAGCCATTTGTTTGCCAAAGATAATGCCATAATCTTCTTTTCCCTTTTACCATCAGCTGTCAAATTTATATTAGTTCTATAATACTTATCAAGTCTGAGAGACTTGTTCTGTCCTTCCTTATTCTCTCATTATTAAGTGATGCTTCAGGAAAACAAAACAAAAAACAGAAAGACGTTTTGCAATAGTCCATTACTCACTCTTCATTCCCTTCTTCTTGCATTTGTTACACAAGACAGTACAAGAGTCTGGGTGGATTAGGTAATCTTTCAATTAGTTCTGTTATCCATTCCAATGTGCATGAATTAAATATCGAAGATTTCCACTGTATATTGTTTAATATATGATGACTAAATGCTTTTCCTTAATCTCTCAGTCTTTGTTATCTTACATGAGTAGGTCTTATATTTGACTTTTATGGGAACCGTGGATGAGAATGATGGTCCTGTAAGGACCAGGAATAATAATATCACACATAATACTCGGTTTTGTTTTTCTTGCTCTTGCTGACACTACTGGTGCCATCCATTGGTTTCTCCTTTACAGCTGTTCCATTTGACTGGGCTGAATTGCAAATGTTGTTGAGGCTCTCATCCACATGGTATGATCCTTCGTCGCGGTTGCGGTATTTGTACATGGCGTAGAGAAGAATGAGGATGCAAAGTGCGGCAGCAACGACGATGCCAACCACCATGCCTGTGGTACTGCTGGACTCACGGAAAACCTCTGACTGACCAGGATAGCTCTTCACCCCGGGGCCTGTAGGGTTAGCTGAAGAAACAAAAACACCAAAGGTCAGTCCATCAAACATGTTTCACTAAAATTCACCAACTGGGACAATTTGGAATATTGTTTTGTAAGTATACGCAAGATACTTCCAGCTTTCCCACACAAATTACACTTTATCCCAAGTTTATCACACTTTATCATATTGATCCAAGTATTGACTCACACACACGCACGCACGCACACACACACACACAGATGTTTGTTTCAGTGAATTGTGGGAACTTTCCATGGACTTCGATTACTTTTATACTGACCAAACAATATTTTCTATCCCCTAACCCTAAACCTACCCCTTACAGAAAACCTGTTTGCATTGTTACACTTTCAAATAAACATAATTTACTATTGTTCATATTTTTTTCCCCTTGTGGGTCCCCACAGTGTCAAAAATGTCAGATTATCAGGTTTAACTCATTCGAAATACTTAATGTTACACTGTCAGATATGCAAAAGAAATCGAACTTATCTCTTGCTCTGTCTACTGTGTATAGACCACCAGGGCCGTATACAGATTTCCCTAAAGAATTTGCAGATTTCCTCTCAGACTTACTGGTTAATGTTTATTGACAATTTCCTTGTATCATGCATGCTGCGTATTACTAATATTTACTATATGGCTCCGCGTTATCGTCCGGGCAGAACTATTGTTCCAGCCTCCAAAGACAGATTCACAAATAACCTGCCTGATTTATCTCAACTGCTCTGTGTTCCCATAAGTACACATGAACTAGACGAAATAACTACCAACATGGGCACTATCTTCTCTAATACATTAGAAGCTGTTGCCCCCATCAAATTGAAAAAGATTAGAGAAAAACGTACTGCGCCATGGTACAACAGTAATACCCATTCGCTCAAGAAAGAAACTCGTAGTCTTTAGAATCGCGTGGAAAAACAGTATGTCCAGCTATAGACAGGCTCTAAAAGCTGCCAGGGCCGAGCATATCCACAAACTCATAGAAAATAACCAAAACAATCCAAGGTTTTTATTTAGCACAGTGGCTAGTAGGGGTGTGCAGCGAAGCCCGTATTTGTATCTGTATCTGTATTTGTAACAATCACAAAATTATTCATATCTGTATTCGGATATAACTGGAAGTAGGTGGAACTTCGTACAGTTACTGTTATGACTATGGTTTTATAGCCTTTTATTTTTCTTAGTTATGACTGAGCAAATATCGTCTCAGGTTACTTATGAGTAGGGAACGAGACACTGCGTCCTCTATGGGTCGCTATGGGGAACGCCTCGTCG